CTGCCCCACATTCCCCACAGCACAGCCCCCGCTCCAGCTCAGCCTCCCCCCGGCACCAGGGCTCTCCGTGAACACCCAAGGTAGGTGAGGGATGCTCAGATCTGCCAACACAACATTCCCTCCCCACCTCACGTCTCCATGGAGCTCTTTGGAGCAGCATTCCCAGGCTGTTCCACCAGCCCAGGCTGAGCTTTCCCTGCACACTGCAGGCATCAGGACCATTCCTGGGGAGGGATGAACCATCCCACAGCCGCTCTGCCCCAACATCACCCAGGGCTCCAGGGAATCACCTCCCTGCAGGACTCCTTAAACCACACTCCTCTGCCCATCAGAGCAGGACATTTCTGTCTCTTGTGCCCCCTGGGCTGTCACTGGGAATTGTTAAACTGGGAGCAAYGGGAGCCATCTGGGACCAGAAATGGACACCTGAGTGGGAATGATCTCTGGGACAAGGGATCACTGCCATCCTTGCATTTTCCTTCCACAGGAACGCAGACCCTGCCGAGCCCCAGCCCAGGGGTGAAGGATTGCAGCCAGCAGACAGAGTAAGGGGGTCCTGCCCTCCCTCCCTCCATCCCTGAACCCCCCGGGCACAGCCCCCACCCCACAGTGCTCCCTCACCAAGGCACCGGGGTTTGCAGAGCAGACACAGCTCAGAGGGTGCCCAGAGCTGGGGGTGGCTGCAGCCCCTCCTCACACCTCAGTGACACACTCTGCTTTTCATTCCAGCTGGGGAATAGCAGTTTTAAATAAGGTAAGCAAAGCACAAACTCCTGAAAGTTCAATCGCTGTAGAAATATTTCCACTTCCCTGGAAAAAAACAGGGGTTCCCAATGAACCCCAGCAAGGTTTTCTTCTCCACCCAAATATAGGCTGTTAATTCACTTATTTAAAAAATATTTAGATTTTGTAGCAATTTCATTAAATGTTTATAAACTGAAACAACTCATGTTTAAACATTTCCCTTTCCCTTGCAGGAAATTGTGCAGCTCTCCAACTACCTGAAGGTAGGTACCAAACAGTGCTCAGCACCCTCTGGGACAGCTGTTTTTTTTATCAAGAATAATACTTTTAAAATTGATATTGTTAAATAAAGGGTGTTGAAAGCCCAGTTTTAATGCAAAAAGTCAAGAGAATTCCAAGAGCTGGAGCCCCCCAGGCAGGGGAAGGTCAGGGGGGCTCAGGGCTGTCCCCATGACCATCCTGTCCCCATGACCATCCTGTCCCTATGACCATCCTGTCCCCACGACCATCCTGTGTCCACTGACCATCCTGTCCCCATGATCATCCTGTCCCCATGACCATCCTGTCCCCATGACCATCCTGTCCCCATGACCATCCTGT